CCCACAAACCCACTAACATCCCACGTCAGTGTGCATCTCCACCCAGCTTAAAACTAGAACCTGTTTCAGCCACTGAAGAGGTAAAACCTGAGACAGTTCAGCCTCCTGTGTCCTCACTGGTCATTGGCTCGGAGGCCAGACAGTCAGCTGCAAAGAACCAGCTGAACCCAGTCAAGTATGAAACCAGCCCTTCGTTAGCTGGAAAGCGGAAAAAAGATGTGACTGAGAGTTCAGGCTGGGCTGTTTCAGACAGTGATGATGATGATAGTGCTATGGAGAAGAAGAAGTTACCACCAAAACCAACAAGTCCCAAAACTAAAAAAACAAAGGTGGAGAAGGAGCGTCCTCCCAGCCCTCATGGACGGTCTTACTACATTGACGAGTCAGAAGACTTCTTTGAGTCCAGCATTCCTTGTGGGAACGACATGTACAGATTTTACCTCAACAAAGTCACCGGCCTGGACAGGAAATACAACACTGGAGCGCTGCACATCAGAGGTAAAAGACATAAGCCTGAACAGGACTGAGCATCAGTAAGAAAAGCCTTTGTTGACAAAGATAGAAAAATATTTTTTTCTTTTTTACATCACTGTGAATGAGTGATAGGTTTGTGAGAGCTAAATTAAGCCCATCATTTATTTCCTGTAGACATCTTGTCCCCATTGTTTGGAACCTTGAAAGAATCTGCTCAGGTGAGAAAACACATGAACTCTGTTTTGGATATTTTACATCAACAAAAAGTAGCACACTTCACAGTTTTCATGTGATGGGAATTTATCCATTTTCCATTCCTAACAGTTTAACTACTGCTTTGATATCGCTTGGATGGTTCAACAATTTCCTCCAGAATTTAGGTGAGTTCTTCTCCTACCTTGTTTGACTTACTATTTCCTTATAAGTAGGAATTTTGTGAGTGCTTTCTCGAGATACTGAAAACATATAATAATATAAACAATATTAACTTTTTTTATTATAGAGCACTATTATTAGACTACTAAAATTTAGAGTTATTAGTGATATTTGACGTGGAAGGTGCTGTTTTCAGAGATCGCCCTGTTCTGATCGTCCACGGAGATAAGAGAGAGGCCAAGGCCCGTCTGCTGCAGCAGGCTCAGCCTTTTCCACATGTTCGATTTTGTCAGGTAAACTCTCTCTGCTACATATGATATTGGAGCTATGTTCTGTCCTTTTTCCCTTCATCTGAGCTAATATGTGTATGTGTGGGTTTTTTTTTTAACAGGCCAAACTCGATATTGCCTTTGGAACTCACCACACGTAAGAATTTCTTCTGACTCTATTCCTTATTTTCTCATCCATGTTAATGAAGCTGGAAATAAACACTCACACTAATGATGACATAAATTATTTGCAATTTCATCGAAGCATTGATGTCACACAGTATCATAAAACTTTGAATTTTGATACTACGTTGTCTCTGTAGGAAAACCTGCTTTGGGCTTTTTAGTACTGTGTTTTATAGTTGCAGTAAAATATGAGCCTAACATACCAGTTAATATATGTACATGTTATTATTGGTGTTTTTTGTGCAGCAAGATGATGTTGCTATGGTATGAGGAAGGCTTCAGGGTCATTATCTTGACCTCTAACCTCATAAGAGCTGACTGGTACCAGAAAACTCAAGGGTGAGTCTGCAGCGAAGCTGAGCAGTTTTAGGGTGACTTTTTTGAGTCATTTGGGTGTGTTTTTAAGAATTTAAAAATGACAAAATTTTAGATAAAATATGCAAATAATAAATCTGTTAAATGTCAAATAGTTACTTAAATCACAAAATGGTACTCAGTACAGGTTTAACTAAGAATAATTTTTATCCCGTTGCTTTTAATCTGAAGTAACTACTGTACATATGCACCATTAAAACTCAACTTTTACTATCCACCCAGAATGTGGATGAGTCCTCTGTTTCCACGGTTACCTGAAGGCAGCAGTGCGACTGCAGGTGAATCCCCGACTTTCTTTAAAAGAGACCTGCTGGAATACCTGGCGTCGTACCGGGCCCCAGAGCTGCAGGAGTGGATCCAGCGGATCAAAGAGCACGACCTGTCAGAGACCAGGTAACTGTGGGGCACCTGCAGATAAACAGATGGAGTTCATGCTCTAATAGGTTGTACCTGCAGCTCTAATACACACCAAGGTCCAACTTCTATCATAACGTCACTGTGCGGCTGTAATAAAGATGTTCGAAGGTGTAACATCTGGATGTTGTCATTCTCACCAGGGTGTATCTGATTGGCTCAACCCCAGGCAGGTTTGTCGGTTCGGACATGGAGAGGTGGGGTCATCTGAGGCTCAGAAAGGTTTAATATCTTTTCCTCACTTTTTTTCCCTAATTTTGTGTCTCTTTAATTTCTTGAAAATTAAACAATAATGATATGAGCAGATGTACATATTACTGTCTGTTCAATTTCTTATATCATTTGGTTCCTAATAGAAAAAAAAATACTAAAAAAAAGTACAACTGATACAATATTAATACATGATTAGTTTCCTCACTCTTCATACAAAAAAATGAACATCACAGGTTCTAATATTGAGTGTTATTTTCTTTTTTAGCTTTTGCACGATCACACACAACCCATTCCTGGCGAAGAACGGTGGTCAGTGATTGGCCAGTTCTCCAGTATCGGCTCAATGGGGCCGGATAAAACAAAGTGGTTGACGGGGGAATTTCAACGCACTTTGACTACGCTGGGAAAATCCTCTGTCCGAGCAGACCCTCCCCTACATCTGGTGTGTTTCTTTTACATGTACCAAGAAATAGAGGGAAATAAAACCGGCCAGATGTCTGTCAACTGTTCATAGTTTCTTCTAAAATTCAAGGTCTTTTATTAGAGGCATTTCAGACTCACCTTACCTCACCCTACAACTATAACAAGGTCTTTTATTAGAGGCACTTCAGACTCACCTTACCTCACCCTACAAAAATGGGATTAATTATATAAAAAATAATGTTTGACTTGGTTTGGTTTTACATTTTATAGCTGTATCCCTCAGTGGAAGATGTGAGGAGCAGTTTGGAAGGTTATCCAGGTATGGATTTTTAAATTTATTTATTTTTATATAATATGTATTATTAAATATGAATATTTATTTATTTTTACTTATATATAATATGTATTATTAAATATGAATTGATTAAATTAGTTTCCTTAAACAGTAACTTATGTGTTGTGACCAAATTCTCATTCTTTCCGCAGCTGGAGGCTCTCTTCCCTACAGCATCCAAACAGCACAGAGACAGCTCTGGCTCCATTCCTACTTTCAGTAGGTCCATTGATTGCCATCAGTGTTTATTCTAACACAATTGACTGGTAGTTAAACAACAACAATGTTAAAAAAACATTTCCTTTTCACAGTGAATGGTCTTTTAGTTTTAACAGATAGTTAATGTAATTACCCACAAAAAACAAGCCTCTGTGTGTTCTTTGTATTGCTGTACTTGAGGAAATTACTATTATTGTGGGGACAGGTTCTCACTGAGTGAGAGGGTTCAGATAGGAGCTAGAGTGAGGAGGAGTGGGTATATATTTGGTTTATATTTAAGGTTAGAGAACTATATGAGGTTGGGTATAAATTTGGTTTATATTTAAGGTTAGAGAACGGTGTTGGGGAATGGAATATATGAACCAGTATGTGTGTGTTTGCGTGTAGCCGCTGGAAGGCGAATGCGACAGGAAGGAGCCAGGCCATGCCACACATTAAGACATACATGAGAGTGTCTCCAGATTTTACCCAGCTCGCCTGGTTCCTCGTCACAAGGTAAAATAAACTTTATTATATTTACGTATTTATATTTACAGGATTTTTAAAAACAATGTATTTATTTGTGTGATACAGTGCCAACCTGTCCAAAGCAGCATGGGGGGCACTAGAGAAGAACAACACTCAGATAATGGTCCGCTCATATGAGCTTGGAGTCCTCTACCTGCCTTCTGCCTTTGTAAGAGTAACATACATTAGCCAAGACTATATGTTGGAGCAACATATACAGCCACAACGAAACACATCTTTTCCAAGTGTATAGTTAAAGCATATGCAGTTTCAGAGTGTAATAATCCTCTTTTCTTAGGACATGAAGACTTTTCCCGTCCACAAAAATCCTTTTCCTGTCTCCTCATCCTCATCTGGTTTTCCTGTGCCCTTTGACCTTCCACCTATGCTCTACTCCTCTGAAGGTACAACAAACACATAAAAGCCTAAACACAGTGTCATAATGATGTTTGGGTGGCTACTGTATGCATAAGTAATCACAACTATCAGCTTTCAATCCTGGGGTTGTGGGTTTAATTACAGACTACATTATTGTTAAATATGTATTTTTATATGTATAATCTGCTGATGTCACTGCCCTCCTTTCTACGTCTGTTTTCAGATCAGCCTTGGATTTGGAACATTCCTTACAACAAGGAACCTGACACACATGGCAACATCTGGATTCCTTCTTGAATGCACAAACACTCACTTGTGGATCTTTCTATAGTTGCAAGGACTCTGAACTATACTATCTTTCTCTTGTACTTTAACATTTATGTCAAACTCCTTAAAACAAATCTTTACACTTGAGAAATTGTTGTTATTAGAGCATCGTGTCAAAAACCTTTCTATACTGTACCTGCACACACTAATCAATGTACTATATTCAGATACTAGTTGTCAGTGACATTTTTAAATATATATTTTTATACTGTATTACAGACCTTCATGATTTATACCAATTAGGCTAGCATTGTTTTCTGTGTTGTAAATGTGGTAGTAAAATAAAAAAATATGAAATGATGTTTTGGTTGGCCAGTCTTTTTATTTTTATTAGAGTTTGTTTCCATCACTCTATTTATCAATGTAAAAACTACACATAACAGGAAGTAAACCATGAACCTCTTTAATTTAGCACGAGTTTTATTTCCAAAAAGGTGGCGCTCCTTAACTTCTATGAACTGCGACTCCCGTCGTCCCTTGCGTCATTAAGTCAACATGGCGCCTGTCTGCCGGACAAAAGGCAAATCTGTCTGACGGCGGATTGAAATCCAATGAGAAACAGAGGAGACATTTTGGAAAAACTGTCAGTGTCAGTGTTTCCCGGCGCCCGGAGATAACAGGCATATGGTGGAATAAAGGTGCCCGGAGGCTCAGAGACTGGAATGTTAAGGTGAGTGAAGTCCCGCAGCTCCAACTACTGCTGTCTCGACACGGCTCTGCCCGAGCCATACATTCCCCCGCCTGTAGGTGAGAACTGAAAACTCCATAAAAACGCTGGTGTTGCGGCATTTTAATCGGCGGTCGGGGCTCACACCGCTAAAACGGCATTCACAGGTCTTTAAACAGCAGCATAAAGTGTATGTAAAAGAAAGAATCCACCTCGTTAGAAAAAATAATCACAATCCAACACAGGGACAACTTTTTTTCAGGCGGTCCTAAAAGCGCTCTGCATTGGGACATAGTGTAATTTCTCTAATTACAGTCTAATTACAGTCTACAACAGAGCGTATAATTTAATGAAATTATTTTTCTTTTCGAAATTTAAATTATTCAACCACAAGTATGCGAAACTGGGGTTATTCTTTATTTATTTATTTATTTATTTTTTACAATAGATTAGCCCACGTAATCATTGTGTCTGGTTCGCATGTTTATCCAGTATTTCCTATCGTCATTCGTAACTTCGAAAGAGAGTTGTGGTATTGCTACAGTGATACTAGCATATACTACTGTGTAGTTACAGCCAATGTCCACATTAAACTTCATAGTGAGCGTTTAATTCATCTTTCCAGTGAACTTTGGTCAGCTCTACAGCAAATACATACGATAAGGTTAAATCAGGTCTACTTTAGGTTATGTCAGAGTTGTGGGTTCACCTGCACGAACCAAGTTGATCTTTAACAGGTGAGATTTTTGATTCTCAGAGGTAAGCCTGCAGTGCCTACAGGGATTGATACTACCCTCAGAACTTTGTTGGCAATGTCTATTTTTTTTAACCTGGGCACAACTGACCTAGTTTCTTTACTATATGGCAATCCTTTATGAGGTTTTCAGCCTCCTGAAAGGTCAACGGTCACTATCAGCATCAGCAAGTCTTTGCACCTCTGGAATAAACTCTTTTGGCACCCTTAATATGAGAGAATACTAAAGTAAATCTAATTTGAAATACTACAAGTGTGTTGATTCTTCTTACTGAAGCTCTAACAGTAGAACACCAGCTTTGTGTTTTACTGATCCCCTTAAAAGTTAGACACTGCAAATCAGCACAATATGTTAATTACTAGTCCGGTTTGTCTCTTGCTTGTACATGCTCTAAGCAAACATTCAGTAAATACACAGACAGTGAAATTAGAATATATATATATATATATATATATATATAATATATATATATATAATATATAATACTTTAAACTAGTCACATTAGTGATGAATGCTGACTAATATGGATCATGCCGTTACACCTAGTTTGCTTTTGGATTAGAATACTCTTCATACTGAGGAGTCACTTGTTTTCTTTTCAAGGTCTTTACAGGTCTTGTCTCAGCAGGATAAGGACAGGTGTTAACATGAAAGGTTGAATTTTACACACACCCTGATACTATAGAATTTAAGCTGTAGTTCAATCATTACTTATTTGTCAGTTTGCAAGTGTGCTTCTCCTTTTGTGACCTGCCACAAATTTATATATTTGTTTATATAAAAACAAACTAAGATGATGTTATTGTACACGTACACAACCATAAATATCAAATACGTGTGACATCCCTGTAACATCCCTCCTGTGGATTTGTTTACACCACAGATCTTGGATTGACCAGGTTTTGATCGGATAATGCCAATAGTTTTTTATTTTTTTCTAGTAGCTAGTATTTGTTTATTTCAATGCAGTACATTACTTGGTTTGGGGCCTGCCAGTACTTGTGCAGCAGCATTTAGCATTTAAGCTTTCAGCAGACTACTTGGAACAAACCACTGAGGAATTGTGTTAAAATTAACATTTCAGGACGAAACCCCAAGTAGTTCTGTAGCTCACTGGGTGCCTGGAGGAGACATTAAGGGTGAGTCAACTGAAATCAGATAAGTCTGACACCATTCAAGTGCAGTTGCTTTATTATAAAAGTCTGCTCCTGCCCCTGCGATGGTATGGTTTGATCAGTGGTATCAAATGTGGTACTGAGATCAAGCAGGACCTAAGTTGATATTCATCTGTTATCTGAGGCCATGAGAAGGTCGTTGGTAACTTTAACCAGCGCTGTTTCTGCACCATGATGTAATCTAAGTCCTGACTGAAAATGTCTTCAAACAGACCATTGCTGTGAAAATACAACATAACTGATTTGCAACAGCTTTTTCTAGGGGATCAAAGACAGGCTGCTTAAGATTTCAGGGCCAGGAGTTTTTTTTTAAAGTAAGTTTAAAAATAAACCGCTTAAGTACTTAACCAGTTAAGAGAGTGTAATGGAAAATGTGAGCTCTAGTGTACCTCATTATATTTCATAAGTTTATGAACTTCAGTTAACATTACTAAAATGTATAGTATGGTTTGTGTGTTCTGTGTGTGTTTAGCTTAGTGTTTAGATATTTGCCATGTCACTGTATAATACACATCCAAATATACACCATTTCATGGGTATGATCTTTATAAGATAAAAAGGGTTCTAAACAGGATTCTATTGAGACAGTGCTGACTGTTTTTATAGTTGACTAATAAAGAAAAATAAAAGAATAATTTGGTCCATAAAAAATATTAAAAGTTCTTCTAACTAAATAAAAATGTTTTCTTATTGATGTTTGATATTAGTTTTTTAAGTATTCATAATCCTTTGTTTTTACGATGAAAAAAGATTTTGTTCCTTCCCCGCAGAAGTCAGGAAGGAAAGGTTATTTCCTGCCGATTAAAAAGAAAACTGGAGATATACCAAATATTTAAACTTTTGTCTTGCAGTCAAACTGACACTGACATTTGAGCTGTTAAACGTTTGATTTGCATTGATAGTACAGTGAACCTGCCTAAATATAAATATGTTTATAACTGTTCGCTTAACTGTTAAGATTAATATTTTCTTAAGCCTTAAAAACTTATTTTTTAGTGATGTGCTTTTCTTTGTACAGTTCAGAGAAAAAAACACTAGAAATTAGTTGTTAATTAAATGTAAAGCATTTTGGGACAGAGCGATTCCCTTTTGCTCTACTGTCAAGAGTAGCAGTTTTTGTGAATTGTCTGCTCCTACATCATGACGCTCGGCCAGTGCGACCTTCACTTGGATGAACTGCTCTGTAGAACCACTCCTGACTGTTGTGTATGTTTTTAAAAAAATGTTTATAAAACATGATTCTACATATCAGAGGAATGTAGTTATAACCTCATATTAGATTGGACCTGTGGTTTACAGTGCAGTCTCTATCATCTGTGAGACCTCATACAGAACATTGTCCAGCACTGTCTATTAGAGCCGTATGTGGTGAAGAGAATTTAAGACCTTGTAGGTATTACAAGGAATCAGGCTTTACACTGCAAAATTATCCTTTTTAATGAAAGTTAAAATATTTGTATGTCTTTTTGCATTTTGTCCTGTTCATTGGTCCAAACGTCCAACAGTTTACAGCATGATTCATCCACTGCAGCAGAGAAAGTATGGGGCTTGGCTGGCTGAGATGTAAATTTTTCTTGGCATTTTTCCCAAGATACAAACACTCACCCTCTCTACCTCACCCTCCCTCCCTCTCTCTGTAAGTGTTGACACGACTGCTGACTTTCAGTCTCTCCTCTCTCTGTTTTCCTTCTTGGCATCAGACAGAAAAGCATGAAGGCAGATGAGATGTTTCTCTGGTCTGTTTTACCTTCTGCTTTTTCCACTGTCACTATTACTGTAGAGTTTATGAAAGACTGTGCATTGTTAAGAAATAAGAGTCTATAGAACATCACCTGGGAATGTATAATAATGTGTACTTTTTGGGTTTGAATACAATCGTAAGGAATGCAGTTCAAATCTGGTTAGCAGCTGCCTAGTTCCCTGTGTGTGAGTGCGTGTGTGAGCAGGAGCGCTATGGATCTGCAGTTGAAAAGAAGACAAACATTACTGACCTCATTTTGCTGTGGTTGTCTTTGTGCTTTTCCACGCCATGAACATACATCCTACAGAATGTTCCAGCAGTGTGAGGAGCCTCGTTTCACCATCGAGCAGATTGACCTCCTCCAGAGGCTACGGAGGACGGGAATCACCCAGGCAGAGGTTCTGCATGCGCTGGACACCCTGGACCACCTGGACTGTCGACATGGACGCACGTTCCCTCGCAAGACGTCCTACACGCCACCTTCGTCTTCCTTGTCGTCTTCCATGACCTCTTCTGCCACGCAGACAAACTTCCCAAGAAGTCACATCTCAGTTTCCCCTAACAATAACTTCGACAGCGCTTTGCCCCTGCCAGTCGCAGTGGCCTCACCAGTCATCTTGACAACAGGTGCTCAGAATGATCTTGTCGCCGTTACCAATGGGAAACTGTCTCCTCCTCGTTTTCCTCTCAGTGTGGTTGGTGGCACGGTGTCGGCACCAGGTTACGGGTATGAGGCCAGTGAAGAGGACCTTGATGTGGATGAAAAGGTGGAGGACCTGATGAGGTAATACTTTGACCTTTCTCTATTTCACATTTTTATGCCTCTATTTGGTACTTTGTCCAAACTGTTAGGTATAGAGGTGAGGTAAAGGGTGAGGGCTAATCCAGTGTTCAGTGCACCAAGTTTCTATGTTAACATAGAACATTATTAAATTAATGACAAATTAATCCATGCTGTGAACAGGGACACTATTGCCCCAAGAATGACATGAGATTGTATTGAGCCATACCTACGCATGATTGTCCATAATCTTTTAAAAACATGACTCTTCAGTTGAACTGATTGAAATGGTTCACACATTTTGAAAACAGTTTCACACCAAAAAGTCCGTCTTTTGTCGGGTTAATCCCACAAAGGGATCACGCCCTCGTACTGTAACTGATGGTATTAAAAGGCACAGATGTGAAACCTATTCTGTATGTGGGTTACTGCAACCAACAAAGGGCTGTATAATATGATGATATATATCAGATGAAGCACTGAAATGAACTGCCTATCACTGAAGGCTCTATTGTTTACTTTATGGTGTCGCAAAACAGTGTTGACATCTCAAATAGAGATTTAGTGTCCCTGTATTAGAGAAAGAGCAGCCGGACCAGCTGCAGAATCATGTCTGCTCTGCGGATACAATGACTCTGACACAGCAGAGCAGCCTCATACAAAAACAGTTTTAGCTGTTCCTTCTACTCACTGTGTACTGTATGAACTAATTGGCTTTGGCTCATCTAGTAATTTGTTTAATTGAGCTTTGGCTCATCTAGTAATTTGTTTAAAAAAAAAAAAAGGAACTGGGGTTTAAAGCTAGAGATCTTGCTGATTTCTAACACTGACTTGTGTTACAAGAGTTTAATGCTGCTGTTACTCCACACGGAATATGAAAATTACACACACTGTACAAACACACCAGTGCATCTCATCTACAGTCTGCAGCCAGGCAGCAGCAATCAGAGTGTTATTGATTTGAAGGTTTGGGAAGATGAAACCAGGGGAGCAGAAAATATTACTGCAAAATCAAGCCTCACATTGCATTATTTATTCTACTGCCACAGTCACTGTCACCCATGGATCACAAATGATTTTTGGAAAGCTGGTTGAACATGAAGTGTGTTATTCTAATGTTATTGTTGAAGTCTGCGGGGAGAAAAAAATTCTTGTGTTAATCCCTGAACTCTGTGTTCCTAAAGAAGGGACAGCTCTTTGATCAAAGAGGAGATTAAGTCCTTCCTTGCCAACCGACGGATTTCTCAAGCTGTGGTCGCTCAGGTAACAGGTGAGCATCATCTTAATTTACCTCTTTATCAGAGCAATAAAGTAACTGCTGAGTGACATGGAAGATCAACCTCATGTCTCACTCTCCTCCCCTCAGGGATCAGTCAGAGCCGGATTTCCCACTGGCTGCTACAACAAGGATCAGACCTCAGTGAGCAGAAGAAACGAGCTTTCTTCCGCTGGTACCAGCTGGAGAAGTCCAACCCAGGTAACACACACAAACACCACCACCACTACCTCCTTCCTGAGATCAATCGGTCTGTGAATAACACACATATACAATAATTTGACTCACAATGGAGTGAACGTGCAGCAGCACGTTAGCATATGCAAAAAATGACACACACTGTACGGCAGAACTGTTCCAGAGCTTTAAAGTAATATTTATCAGTCTGTCAGATCAGTACTACCTTGAGGCACATGTACCTTGTGTGGAGTTTTTGTGGTTTTACAGAGAGCAGTGATGTCTCCCCTTCATTCATCATGCTTTTTGAACTGCTTTGTTTCTATACTCTAACCTAATCAACAATTAAGGAAACAAGGATCCACTCCTCGGGGAGTTAGGCTGAAACAATAAATCAGACTTACTTAAGGTTGTTTTTTTCTCTTTTTTTACATTTTGCATTTAAAACATTAAAATAAGTGGAAAATAATAGCAATCAATTATTTATTCATATGTAAATGAACCTAAGCCTCTACCTGATCTGCAATGTATTAAAAGGTGAGAACAGTTATTCTACCTCATCTCATTGGTATTCATAGATGTGACTGCTGAGGACACCAAGCCATAAATCAGCAGCAGATACAGTATATGACAGTGGTCGCGTTGAAGAGGTTAAAGAGTCGTAAAATGACAGAAGGCTGAAGCAGATGTTGGTGTTTTAATGAACAGCATCCTCAGAATGAAAACACTAAAGGGATCATAAGATCATGTTAAATGGAAAGTGCTCTATGAAATAAAGCCTTCAACTTTTTTTAAAAAGGAACGGCATGATTTATGTTTGAGACATATTTTACATATATATTCACACTTTAATAAAGTAGTGGAATTAATTAGAACTTACATCTCTTATGGAACTTCATGTTTGTGACTCCAGGTGCTACTCTGGCCATGCGAGCTGCTCCACTGGCCCTGGACGACATGATTGACTGGCCACAAGCCCCACCATCCTTCGGTGCCGCCACCGGGGGCTTCCGTCTGAGACGAGGGAGCAGATTCACCTGGAGGAAGGAGTGTTTGGCTGTTATGGAGAGGTGAGGTTTTCGATGTGCTACATAAAAGTAGGGTAACTACATTGTGGTGCTGCCTTTTTTTTTTTTTACCAAGGAGCTGTGTGTTTTTCTGCACACAGTTATTTCAGCGATAATCAGTATCCTGACGAATCCAGGAGAGAAGAGATCGCCAACGCCTGCAACGCCGTCATTCAGAAACCAGGTATGTGAGGCTGGAAAGGCTGGATTGAGGTCTAATAATATTAATCCTTATTGAATATTCTGAATATATTGATCAGCTGCCAATGTCTGACCTGCACGTATGTGTGTATGTGTGAGACAGGAAAGAAGCTGTCTGATCTGGAGAGAGTCACCTCTCTGAAGGTCTACAACTGGTTTGCCAACAGACGCAAGGACATCAAGAGACGTGCTAACATAGGTACGGTCTGCCTCTGTAGTAGTGTTGATGGGGGAAAAATAATGTAAAAAAACCCATAAACATATGGAGAAAGTTATTTCTCACTAGCATCAGTAGGTTGCTCTTGAAGTCGATATGCTATGATCAGGTTTGTGTTTTTGAAGAAGCAGCCCTCTTAGAGAGTCATGGCATCGAAGTGCAGAGTCCAGGAGGTCAGTCAAACAGTGACGAGGTGGACGGAAACGACTTTCCTGATCAGGTACATGTATGTAAATATGTAAAGTATATACATATACTAACAGTGTTCATCAGGTTAGCAGTTTCTAAATGAGTGCATAACTGCATTAGCGGAGTGAGTCATCATTTGGACTTGTCATGTTTTAGTAATAAGCTAATAAGCTCAGTGGTACTATTGTCAGGACCCTCTCCCCCACACTGCTTTAGAACGCCACTAAACTTTTGTAAACATTCTAATTCCTGCAAAACTTTTCAAGGAACAAAAACCACTGACCGGAGGAGTCATTGCTTACAGTGATGTGATGGTTACTCAGTGGTGTAGTCTTTTTATTTCTTCTAAAGCTTGTCCCCTGCTCTGTTACAGGCCTGTGAGATGTCATCATTTGACAAGAGAGCAGCCAGACAGTTTGGTTTCAGCCGAGCTGACCTCTCTTCTCCGACACAGGTACGGTGCGGCTGCTCTACATTTACGCCTACTCATCAATCAATCTTTGTCTTATATTTAGAATGAACTGCTGATGTACTGATTTTTTTTATTGTTGAAACCAAGAGATTTTGTTACAACAAAACATAAAAAGAGTCATTTTTTTCTAAAGTTTTTAAGTACAAGAGATCATATGAAAGCACTGGCACTCAATGTAAAATAATTGTAATTTACAGGCAAAACCGTAAATTACAATAAAAAAAAAATCTCAGCCTGACCTACCAGTCGTTCCATACTTGTTTAAAAAAAAAAAATCTCAGTCTGACCTACCAGTCGTTCCATACTTGTTCTTGCCCAGGTTCCTACGCTGCTGCCCAGCTGGTTTTCTGTCCTGGGCAGAGGAGCCTTATCTGGACACAGGAGCTCTTCTATGATTGCCCGCTCGCTAATGACAGGGGCGGTTCCACAGGCAGAAGGTTCCAGGTTGTCAGGTGTCTCCTGGTCTCCACCGTCTCCTTCCCTCCAGGATGAACCCCCTATTGTGCTGTCGGAGTCCCAGGAGATGTTGGAGAAAACTGCCGCTGGTCAGGAAGACGGGGCAGGGAGCAGTGTGGGCAACGACATCAAGACAGAAAATCTGGAGGACGACTAAAAACTGATGTCATGAAAATAACAGGTGTGTTATTATGCAAGCAGATTATATAGGAATGTAAGAAGTGAAAAAAAAAAGACCAAAAGTTGTACAAACGCAAACCCTGAAATACCTCCCAACCCTACCTCCAACCGTCAACCTGCTCTGCCACACTCTGAAAGGCATCACCAGTGTGTTGTACACTGAGGATTATAATAACAATAAGGTTTAGCTTTTACTTGTCCTCACCAGTGGACCGTTTAAATGGCTCAATAGTTACCTACTATTTAAATTAGGAGACGTGTTTGTCGGCTTCAAACGCTGCTTCTTCGGGAATTTGACGTTATGTCTGCTGAGTGACAGGATGTGATGCATTTCACAGCAGGAAGACACTGTATCAGACATAGAATTAAGGAATCGTCAGGATCTTGCACTGTGATCCCAACACAACACAACAGCCTCAGAAATCAAACATGCAAATCTACATTTATCCGCTAACTTTAAGAGAATAACAGCTCATCTTATTATCCATTTACTTTATACATTTCTCTTGAGTGAGAGGAACAGCAGAATAAGCTTTTTTTTTTTTAACAAAGTCAAAGTCACACCACATTTGCAGTAACGGTTTCAACCCTTTTTATACAACTATAACAAGCTAAGTATATGGAAGCAAAGAGAGCATGCATTTATTTCCATTTCATTTTGGAGCATATTTTATATAAAACATATATATTGTTTCGCCAGTTCTTGTTAATAATTCTTACTTTATAGCCCCTGACAGATCTTAACCGCGGGTGATAGACACATAGTGACATATTGTATTCATTAATCGAATTTCCTGGAAAGTGTTGTAAAAACCTCACCTATATGTACTGTAAATGATAACAGATAACATTCAGTAGTAAACTGTTAGCTTCATGTCCCAGATTAAAAAAAAATACTGCCTCCTAGTGTCCAAAAAAATAGTCCAATTAAGTCTTTAATTAATCAGTTCAATTTCTAATATTGCCTTTTTGTCCATTACACTGTGCCATTAGCTCTGACCTCATAGGACACACGTTTGTTTTAGCTTGATGTGTTTTTTTTAGTGCAGTTCTAGTGTTCTCTTTGTTTCCATATCGTTAACTCTAACATTAAGAGTAAAAGTTGTATACACATGAATAAACACATAGGGAGAAACCTGCATGTTGGTGTGACTAATTTAAAATCACTAGATCTAAAGGTCCAGACTAAGGCTGTCTGTTAAAACTGTTAAAACCAAGAATGAACCCCGTGTGAGTGTGTCTGAAGTATTCATCACATGCTGAGGGCTCTTTAACTCAGACCTCTCTGCTCATCAGCAAAAGAGACTGCCGCTACTTGTGGGTTGTGTTGCTGCTAGCAAGCAAGCTAAACAGCCCTTTTGGGCAAAACAAAAACACATCATCACCAAAGCTTCAAAAAAGCATCACGTTTCAATTTGTCACAACAGACCTAACAATTCCAACATAGTAATAAAGATAAAATCTTTGTCTAAAAATCTTAATCAGGTAAAGAAACTAATTGTGGAATGGATATACAGTATAGTCAATTTTATATTAAAATGTAATTAACAAAATGAACTAATTTATTAGTTCAAGAATTCTACAGAACTCAAATTATAATGCTTTTCCCAAGTAATGTTAGCGGATGATAAAATAATCGTTAAAAATAAATCAATCTTTTAAAAAGTTTTAACTAGTGACAGCCCTTAGTCCAGACGACCTTTATTCAGCCTTTATTCTGATTTAGGTCTAATGAGCTGATTAACACTCAGGCAGAATTATCGATCACTGTGAGATCCATCTATTATCAACACAAATCTATCAGCTACGAGGGATTTAATGGTTTAATAACACTGTTCACACTGTAAAGTGAATACATAACCAGACTACATATGTATACATGTATACATACCTATATATACAGTATATATATATATACACACACACACAATGTATGATATCAACTGTGAGGGAGTATATGTACCCTAATCCTTATCTATTTGTAGTATATGAACATATTAGCTTCAAATATTGAGAAACAAATTGTTGGCTAAACGTGAGTGAAGCTTCAGCCAAAGTGTTAGATTTAAAGCGGTGTGTGTTTTCAGAGTGTATGATGATTACTGATAAGTGTGTGTGTGTGCGCGTGCGTGTGTGTATTAGAGCTCATGTTAATCAAAGACTTATCAGATGTGTTGACCTAGTGCAAGATAAAGGCCTCATTTACCTTCAAAGGTATAATCTGTGTTTGTGTTCAAAACACAAACGTTTGTGTCTAAAAAAAAATTTTTTTTTTTTTGACGACACTTTACTGAATCAGTGGCATGTTGCTCCTGCCCTGAGTCCCTGCAGTTTGTATTGACCTCTGTGACTGTCACGCTGTCGTTTGCTCACCAAAGTAACTGCTCACGCAAAGTGAATCTGCCTAGATTTTCATCAACAACCAGTCACATTGTTAGGTGCATATTTCAGTACAGCCTTTGCAGAAGTCCTGTTTATTTTAGTTACTGTATCTCACCACAAGGATGCTTTAAAAACAGGTTTCCAAAACCAATGTTTTGTTTTCATTCAGTCCTGGTTTTTCACATCTGTTCTTGGCGATCTGATCAAAAAATAATACGTTTACTGTAGGTCTAAATACCTACGATTTTTCCCAAAATGTGTTTTTAAACTGAACCGTTAAGGTCTCTTTGAAACATGGTGTAGGGAGACACCAACATTCATCACCAGTTTTTCAAACATTTATTTATTTGTTTTTGAATATAGAGCCATTGGGTAATTTCAGATTTTTATGATTTTTCTCAGTGACAATGAATACCTTAGTATTTTGGGAATAATTGTGATATTCTTGAGATTTCTTGCTCTGATGCTAGCTAGTGCTTCTTGTTAAATGCACTCATATTGATGCTGATTGTAGGCATCTTGGTTAGTAGTTTTTTTTGCAGGATTTCTCAGACATCATAAATGAATGCCATCAAATTACGATGATTTTAAATAATGTTCAGTTCAAGTGCCTTATTTATAGACCCAGGATCAACGTCTAATGGACTTCTTCAAAGGCTGTACATGTGCCATGGCAGCACTTTCACTCAGTTGTTCATCTGCACAGATCCAGTTCAGGCTCCAGTTCTGTTCAGAACATTGGTGCTCTCAATAAACCAGCTTGTATTCAAATTTACTCCTGAATTTCATAAAAGAAACAAACAAACAAACAGAAAATGATTTTTTTATATATATTAAGGACATCTTGTTGTGTTCTAGATCATTTATGATCCCAACCACCAAAATCACATAGATCTGATGACAAATTTGTGAAAAAGATTTTCAACATTTTTTCCTGCACAGACCACATGTAAGAATAATAAATAAATCCTGTTGTAAAATTACAGATCATCAAACGGCAGAATAAAACAGTTTTGGCCATTTTTTAAAATTATGTCCAGAAAATATTTTTGCCATTATTAACAGCATCAGACGTAGCCTTTTTTTTTTTTTTTGCACTAGACCCAAATTGATATTGAATAAATGTCAAACGACAAAACTAATGTAGCATTGATTTCCTTCAGGAACTCACTGCTGGATCAGCAGATTAAATGAACCCATTACTGATGATGGTGTGGTTACTGTGTGGAAATCAAGTTCCTGTCCAAATGTTTGTGGTTCTTTATCGGTGTGAATGCAGATGTTGGTTTATAATTTGGTTCTGGACTAGAACAGTTCTGGATCTGGGCAGTGTGCACTTTTCAACAGTAAAATGGCTTTACTCTGCGCATCACCTGGTGCTTAACAAGCTCAGCTCCTCGTCCAGAGTTAACAAGTCAACACAGATACCTCACGGACATCCCATCACTCACTTTAGCTGCTGTATAAGCTACACCCACAGGTCCCTCCACCGCTGCTGCTGCAGCAATGTGAAATCCCTGACTGGGATAAAAAAAACAAACAAACTGCTGATCAGTCCAGAGGAGACTGACTAAAAAGAGAAAAGTCCATTTCCTTTATGAAAAATGAAAAGGGAAATTCCCACCTAAGTCCGGCCGATATAAATTTAGATGCAAAAGGAAAAGTCCAAAAATAGATTTGTTCATTAGCTCCATCCTTGACAGTTGTCCACTGACTAATAGTAAAACTGTTCTTTTCCTTCTCATGTTCATTGTTGGATTTTACATGTGTCTCCTTTTTGTGCGGCAGCAGAGCTGTCCTGTGTGCGTCTTTGCTCTAAGCTCTAAATTGAAGAGGCCTCACGGTTCTTCTAGCTTCCTCAAAATATGAACATAACTGTACAATATTTCACTGCGAGTTTTCCTTCCTACTCTGCCAAGCAGACGCCGTTTCATTTCTCAAGTGATTTTTATTGATTAATTTAAGAGAAAGTGCTGGTGTGAGATTATTTGAGGATTTTAAGTCATTTAAGCCGCTGCCTCCATGGTGAGACCATGAAGTTGTACTTTGGAGTTCTGATGATGGTGCTTTTATTAAATGTTTGCTATGGTTTTGTTAATAAATACTTGTATTAAAAAAACACACAAGCATTCAACCAATGAGCCAGAGATTAAATTAGAGAATGCAGGAATTTCCTTCCGCTAAACCAACTGCAAATTTGCTAAACAATTATCCTCTCTCTGTCACTCGTAACTGGCTGTAGAAGCACATTTGGTGGTTTGTTCAACTGCAGGGTCACTGCCTCTGCATGTACGTATTCTATAAAGGACAGGCCCCAAAGACACAATGATAGTATTAAGGCAACGTCTTGGAGTTCATTTCAAACTACAAATACATGTTAGTGCCAAAGGGTATGAAATGTGCAGTATTAGGTTAGCTTAGCCAAGCCAGAATAATTTAATACCACTGGAGGCACAAGTGTAGGTTTCTACTTTACGAAGTGCCTGTGCCCTGGTTTAAAAATTTTTTTTTATTTGTTGGAAGTGTGTGTAGCACAAGCGAGTGTTATAGTAGTCAGACAAGCTATAGTGTCACCTCTACCCCAGGTCCTATCAATAATAACATCCACTTTGGAATCCAGGACATATTAATTTGTCTCTAAATAGGATGTAACAAAGGTTACTCTCAGTTTAGGGACTAAGGCATTACAACTGCATTCATAGCACCCCCTGCAGGGATGCGAGAGAAGAGACACAGTCTGTTTTTTGGTAACTGAGTTACGTGGAATATGCACCTAGCGGTTCTATTTTTAAATGGTGTTAAAGATTGACCTTGAAACTTGACTGCTCAATATAGGGGATAAAAGACACACATGTAGAGGGCGCTATCCCTGCAGATGAACACACTACTGAAACCTTTTGGCAATTTCATAAAAATCACTTTGGGGTAACCTTAAAAACAATTCTTCTGTTCTGGAAATTACTGCATAATCTATGTTTAATGGTAACAAATTAACTATCAATTTGCTGCTACAACTGTGTTGATTATTAGTTTATTGGTCCTTTTATGGTTTTTATAAAGCATTTTATCTAATTCTGAATGACCATGAACATATGTTTGGAATTTGTTCAAGCATAATGAAGTATAAATATGTGCTTTTAAATGCTAAATATAGGGCTTCTATTCTGATAATTCACCTGTCAGTAGTTAACATTTTGTGATTTTTAATATAAATCGTACTTTTCTTTGTTCATCAAAAAGAAGATTTTTAATATAAAGCGTACTTTTCTTTGTTCATCAAAAAGAAAATGCTAGCAAAATACAAATAATCACAAAGACATTTGTAAAATTTAAGATAAAAAGTATATCTAAGACTCTTAGGTTTTGAGTAAGTATTGTTACTTAAGACTTGTATCACACCTTGTTTCTTTGCACATGGTCCGCTAGTGAGTGTTCCTTCTTTTGTCCATCCGTGCCATTTCTTTGTCTCGCAGAATCAAATGACATCTGAAAAATAATGGAAACAAGTTTAAAGTTATATTCATGTAAGCTAAAGCCCAGTGGGAATTGAACCTGTGGCTCCCTCTGCTGTTTCCAGCTGTGTGTCTGAGGCGTGCACTCAGGGACAACTGCTGACACAGGAACATTGTATCTTCTGTGGGTCAAATGGCATTTACACAACAGCTACATGAAGAGATAAAATTCCATTATAAAATAAACATTCTAATGTAACCATTTACAAATGTCCACAGAAACGATCACACCAATGTGTCAATTGTGACATTGATGTCATTTTATTCTGGACACAGACTTATTCAAAATTTCTGTATAAGATGATAAACCTCAGCAACACTTTCGATGTAACAGTTTTTTTTAAATTCTCTTTTGTCTTCTATTTTTGAAATTTAGTGCCTTTTTTGGACAGTAGACTGTTCTGTACTGTGTAGAAAATCTGCATATGCCTTTTTGTTACTTTGACATCTGTTGAGAAAGATCTGACATATCTGTTATTTTTAAGGTGTGTTTTTATTGAATTTGTATTATTTACATGGGAATAAAAAATGATCAGACTCCATGATGTTGATTTCTTTTTTATTATTCAGTTCTGGAATAACACTGCAAAACTCATGAAGTCAGTGCAAGTGAAAGGAACTATATTAGCCTGATGGTCGGAGTGTCTAAATAACTGTTTTACCAGATCAACAATTACAAGCCAAAAGTGACTTGGTAATAGTGGGTTTGGGATTTTTTTCTAGTAAATAAATGATTAAAAACATACAGTATTTAATTTGAATACACAACAAAAACATATTTTCAAAACATATATTTTTTATATCACTGCTGAATGATCCATAGACCATGAACTGTGAGTATTTCCTTGTAGGATATTCTACTCAAATTCTGTACGAGTCTGTCAAGCAACGAAAAATAGTTTTGGACGATGAGGTAAAACAATTACCACAACAAGCCACTTTATTGGGTACGCTTGTTGGTTTATACAAATACCAAACGGGAAATTTGAATTTTTGAAGTAGTTTAAATTTATTTATTTATTCAATGCAAATTAGCATCCTCCACATACCCCTTTCCAGTAAAAACACAATTTGTTGGTGTTAAAAGTTTTTATTTAGTTGTTAATGGTACCTTGTGGCATTATGGATTAATTTTTATAGTATTCCCAACTAATTTTGAGGCGTAACAAAAGGTTTAAATAGCTTAATTGATTTGAAAACTAGCTTCCGGATGTAAATGGCTGGAAACAACCAATTTGACTTGTACAAATACGGGAACCCATATATATGAACCACACAGCTCCGAAAAAAGGCTAAACAGTAAGGACAACATTTTAGAAAAACAAAATCAAGTAAGTAAACATTGTCTTACCTTCAATAATGTAACAAACGAGAAAGAATCTGAGCGACGAAGGAGCGGAAGTCCAAGATGGCGACCGGCGGATCGCTCACGAACAGGTGTCTTAAAACAACAGCCAATCACCTGTAAGCACTGGAAGTTTTCACCAATCACCACTCAACTCCCCAGCAGCTTGATTTTCCTATTGTTTTCTCTGTTACTATTTGCATTCACATGGTTTTCAAACCACATTTTGCCAACGTCTACAAACGGTTTTTTCCAAGTAATAAGGCACATAACCACTGTTTAAAATCCTTCTTCTTTTATTTTTCTTTTCTTTTACCGATGTTCTGATCATATGATTAAATAAAAAAGAATATTTTGAATGTATTATATAATACAAGTTTATTCTTTGGATTGCAGCATAGAATCACATAAAACCATTAAGTTATTCAAAAACCAAACTTGTGCCGAGATGGTTTTCTCTCATCCTCTTCTTTAAAAAAAAAAACAAAATTCTTAATATGAGCATTTTTGCACAAACATTAAATGAAAACTCACTGAAAGTGCACTCACACTCAACACACACACACGTCAGGACAAACCTGCTCCACAAAATCATCGACAGTAGCAAGGATTGATCATAATTAACGGTGATGATAAAAATAAATTAATAATTTTGAGCAGGCTGTTATTTTAATAGATGGTTATTGTGTCAAAGTCTGAAAGGAAGTCATTATCTGACTACACCAGCACAAAACCTTCCTTCTAAGTTTTATAGCTTTTAATCTCACTGAGCTCCTGGTATTTCAGTGACCTGGAGGGAACACCGACACCAACGTCCATTAAACACAGTTTGTGTCAGTGGGGAGCAACTGAATTGGAATGTGGATCAGCTCAAAAAAAAGTAAGAAAAAAAAAGTTATACCCCAAAAAGTTGTGTTGCACCCTTTGACAGCCGTGTATTGCTTGTCAATTTTTTTTATTGTTTTATTGTTGAACATTTGAAAACAGAGAGAAACCTGAATGCGGTCAGTGAAGTAGTAAAGCAGGTTCAGCTCTCTGTCAGCTCTGAAAGGCCTCAGGAAAGAAGTTGGCAGAAACATTCTGGACAAGGAAGAAGAGGGACAGAGGTAGTAACAACAAAATGACTCCAAACTAAGGAACTTCTCTTTACTTTGTTTTGTGCTGAAATTAAACAAAAGACAGAGATATTAAAAAAAAAAAAAAAAACAACTTTGAAGGTTCAGTGTGATCTAGTTCCTCTGTTTTCATACAATTCCACTGATGAAGTTCTTATAGTAGCCACCTGGGGGCGAGTAAATTACATCTCCACTTTTTTGTTCTTAATGGAAAATAAAAGCAACTCTTGACAAAAAAAACAAACCAAACAAAACAAACTGTAAACTAATATTGTACAAAATGTGAGCACTTTAATATGGACACATTAAATACATTTACAGGACTGTCCAAAGGCAACGTCAGACCACGCGATGATGATTATTACAACTACAAAAGAAACGAAGCATTGTGTGGCCAAATCACGTGTGAAAAATAACCTAAAATCAAAATGTTTTTCTCTCTCCACATAGCGAGGCAGTGTGTGGCAGTGTTGCCCACAAACGACAGCAGTCTGGGTTCTTATAAAATGTCACAAACTGCTCTGTGATGCAGAACAAAAAGCAGAAGTAACTCAGCAGGTAGAGGCAGAGTGAAGCCAGTGATGCCTTCAGTGTCCTAAGGAAAATTGTATTCAAACTGTCATTTGTAGAATTGTGAAAATGAATCTCAATTCCTGCTACTGCTCTCTGTTTGAATGTGTTTTGGCTTGTTTGTAAAAAACAATCAGAAATTACATACTTAAATAACTGACTCTACTTCCTATGGAACTGTGAACACTGCTGCTCACTGGCTTCATTCTAACATCTGCAGAGGTGGAGGCGGGCATCCACATCAGTTCATGTCCGTTACACTAAAACTGGACAGAGAAATATGCTGTGATAATGAACAAAAATGCTAAGAGCCAAGCTGGACTGAATTAAAAAAAACAAAAAACAAAGGCTTTTCATTCCCTTGGAATGCTGTTGTACGTAGAAAGTGAAGCAAGACTGGAAGGCTTTTCATTCCCTCGGAATGCTGTTGTACGTAGAAAGTGAAGCACTGATATGAAAATGTGAGGAAAATATATGGTCATGTGATTTTTAGAGACATGAAGAAGTGATTTAGAAAAAACAACAAAAAACCCAAAAGAAACAGTGAGTAGAAACCAGGGTGAAAAGAGACCAGACACATGGACTAGACTTGTTTAGATTCTCCTCATCATAGAGTTGCAAGCTAACACTGAAACACACACACACAGGAATCATTACTCACTTGTCTTCATTACCACATGACTATCATAAACCACAATTTTACAGAGAACCAAGAGTCCTTTCAACCTACCCATCACTTTACCACTGCTGACCAATCACTGACCAGACAGCCAGTATCCAGCCAACAACCCCTCGAGGCGACCAATACCAAACCTCATCTTCTGTGCATGTTACTCCGCCCACTTTACAGAAATAAAAGCTTCAACAGTCTCAATTATTGAGGCTAACAAAACAAAGTGCCTCGTCTCCCGAAATGAAACCCCTTCATTGATAAAACAAACGAAAGAATGAACCGTCACTGAACAGAACGTGTGACGTTAGCGTCTACGTCGTTGAGATAATCTAATCGCATCTAGTTAACTCTCAGTGTTAAGATGATTCAACTGATCCATTTATACAAGTAAAACTCACAAATGCTAATAGCAGCAATTTTTTTGAGAAATAATTTGTGCAAGATTTGTTAAAATAAAAAGGCTTTATCAATTTTCATGCGATAAAGGCATGTGTACAAGCATTTAAATATAAATAGTAAAATAATCACACTTTTTGAATAGAGAAGCTCCAGGAATAATTAAAAATATATGGTATAGGATGCAAAATATTTGGACGTACAGAAAGTATTCCATTTGATATGAATGGCTGATGCTACTGTGTGTCATTAAAAGCAAAAAAAAAATTTTAAAAATTAAAGACTGAAAATTCAGGCAATGTGTTTTTGGATTCAAATCCTGTCTGGCTGCTGGGTAAAAAAAATCTCATAGAAGAATCTTGATATGTCAAAATTCACCAATAATCAGCTGATCTGCACAAGTGGACTGCACACTGGGTTCAGTAAAAGGTAAAAATAAAAGTTTTAAAAACTTGTCTCATTCTTCTGTAGGTTGGTGTTTTTGGAAACTGACAAGTTTTTCCCTCCTGTGGTTTTAAAAAAGTCTTGAAAACATATTTGTTCACAAGAAAACCCAAACTGTCCAGAGTTTTTCGTCAACGTGCAGCCATATTGTCTAAAACAGTAAAAAAAACTGACAGAAGTCATAATGTGTGCATAGCAAACATAAACCGTGTGAAACTGGAAGTGAATGACAGACAGTGCTGTCCAATCAGTGCCTGGCTGCAGGCGACATCTGAAAACGTCCAGTTTTAAATTCTAATATTGCACAGGTCCGATCTGAAAACCCCACGGTTCTGGACAGGATCTGTGGTCTCAACATGAGGTGCCAAGACTGTGACATCTGGACTCTGACATTTTTCAAAAACACCCACCTACGTTTAAACCGAGCCACTGCTGCTACTATAGGTCGAGCTCCATTTGCTCTGGATCAAATTTGTCCTGATGATGGACACTCACATCCTCATCAGCTCCTGCTCTGCCCTCTGCTGGTGGTCTTCATGTAGTAACCTGAATGTTACTTTCTCAGACCTGACCAAACTCCACCAGAGCCACGAGATGCTGCAGCGTCAGGGCCAAACTCCATCATCCAATAAGAGGTGGAGTGGCCCTTTAACTGTCTCACCATTTACATTCTATAACAATAAGAACTGTGTCTGGAGACGACCCAACAGTTGAGCCACCACTGTTTCTTACAGGTTAGTACAAAATGTATGAGCTCCAATCAGATCAATGATAAAAATCTAAAAGAAAAAATATCTTAAAATCTTTCCCATGATCCTCTATGTTCATCAGCAGATCCAAACTGCTCCTGTGTTTAATACTTTCCCACTGTGTTCTCCTCAGCACCTCCTCCCAATTGTGTGATTCGTTAGGAGATAAAAGATAAACAACAACAAACACAACAACAAATGCATAGACACAAATCCACTCTTCCCAACAGGATTTTTTTCCCCTTCTCACTTTCTTTTCCTTACACTCTTTAACTATTTCTACCAATACACAACTGATGGCGCCTCCTGCTGTCCTGAAAGACTAGGCCTGCAGTAACCGTGACTGTCACAACCTGTCCTAACCACAGGCACGTTCTGCTCACATACACAAACTTCTCCTCCAGTGCAAAATCAACTTTTAAAGTATCCCGGTAAAATGTCCCGTCTCTCCCACAGTGGCTTTGTCGTCCCATGAGGACGCTCTCCTTCTGTTTCAAAACACCAACACGACTAGGACGACAACACGTACTCGTGCAGATGGATCGACGCTGTACAACATTTACAAATAACACACAAACTTTCCGTTTTCCCCTCTTCGGTCCCTGAGATCACCTCACACTTACACATGGTATTCTCCTGCGCACAAACACGGCCAACGCAAATTAAATACACACACAACAATAAAAACGAAAACAAATGCCAACCGAGCAGTGGTGAAGGCACATTTTGGGAGAATCCATGTTCAAGAGAAGAGGACGAGTGTCAGTCTGGGGCTGACGGTCTCAGGGGGAGACAACAGAACCAAGAGTGGAAACTGGTTACAGGTATAAATGTGGTAGAGGACCACGCTGAGGTTTGCCTTATTTCTAAAGTGTATCCAGTTTCTATCTTGGTGTCAGAAAAACACCAGACAGATCACACTGCCCTGTCTGTAGTGCAGTGTCCGACCCAGTCCGTTTCCATGCAGCCTGTTCACTGACGGCCATTCGTTCCCCATCTTCGTGCGTCACAGTCCATCTGTGAACCTTCTGTAACCTGTGCACAGTCTTTCATCAGTTCACTTCCCTCGTCTGTAAGCTGTGAATGCTCTAAGTGCAGTTTCCTACTGGAGGAAGTTGGCAGTAAGTCGGTTATGCTGCGTTTTCCTGTTGCATGGCTCGGACGAGGAGGAATAGAAGGAAAAGGAAGAGGAGAAGGTGGAGGAGGGGGAGGAGGAGAATGGGAGGAGTTCACATCTCCTTCACCCTGCTCCTGGTTTCTGAATCTCAACTGGTCCAGGATTTGCGGTTCTCTCCTCTTCGTGAAACACTGCTGTCCCCTCGCAGGACAGAGACGTGAGCTGGAGCGGCCAAGTCGCTCGCATTGCGACCGGTCTTGTTTCTACAGGACAGGCGATCTGGCCGAACTAGCACCCCGAAACCAGGTTTACAATGAAAATATCGATGGCCTCCGACTGAGCCGTCGTTCTTACCTGAGAAGGAAAAGCAGGTGGACATCGTTATGGATGGTCATGTGTTCGTTCATTTGATCGTCCTGAATTTGTCTGTGACCACTAATATTAGACAGAACATCAGTGACAAATACACACTAATACATATCTATCACCATCATGTTACCAACAGCTGGGCTACCAGAAAAACAGGTTCCACAGGGAAGTAATAATAAAGAGTAAATAATAAACTAAATATACGACTTACATTTATGATTCGTCTTATAAATACATCATCTAGAGACGTAAGGCTTTTATTTACTGCTGTCCACATGTAATCAGATTTCTCCTGGCCCGCATTAACAGTAGGTTTAAACTTTGGTTTGTGTTCTTACCTACAGGAGTATCCAGCTCCACCCCTACCCACAATCCCTCAGCAAACTGCGTCTGTCCCACAAAGCGCACCGTTCCTGCTTTATTGCTTCCCACTGTGACGTACGCCCCATCTTTCAGCCAGTCGGGCAGAACCTCATTGGGACTTCGCTCTTCTTCATCCAGCAGGATTTCTAATCGTTCAAAGCCCTCGCCTCCTGCTCCTCCTCCTCCTCCCCCTGAATTTATTAGTCTTTGTTTAGAGAAGGAGTTTTCTGCTACAATACTGTTGTGGTTGGCAGGGCTGGCTGCAGGGGGTGGAGGTACAGCAGCCGTCCTGGCAACAGACTGAGAAGAAGAGGTGAGAACATCGTTCCTGTCAGTGCTCTGCTGCTGGAGGTTTGAGGATATCGTGGTTTCAGCAGCCAGGAGGGAGGAAGACGAGGAGGAAGGTTGGAGAACGTCAGACAGGGTGGCTGTAGAGACACTAGTGGAGAAGTAGCCGCTTGAAGACTGGCTGAGGGGGCTGAGAGGGGTGGTGTCATGCGGGTCATGCACAGGAAGAGGAGGGACCTCTGGGAACTCTGCCTGCCCGTCTTTGGTCGGGGGCTGCAGAGAAGCAGCGCACGAGAAACCCACAGTAGCCGCAGGAGCAGAGGAGCAGCAGAGAACATGCAGACAAACCAAAACAAAAACAACAATCAGGAAAATAAAAAATCGATTTAAACTCAGAACCTTTACAAACGATGGGAAAAGACAAATAAAGTCTTTATTTGCTCTATAGTCTGTCAGACATTTGACTTGTGGATTTAATTTTAAGTCAGTATTTGATGTGTGTCTGATCTGATGTGATAAAAATCGATTTTAAAATTTTTAATTTTTTTTTTGGAGACAGAAGTTCAACCTGCAGTACTCGCAAAGTCACACAACGTGTTATACTTACTGTAATTAGCCTGTCTGAGTGCAATTTAAAATTAGAACTATTATTTTTGTCTAAAGTCTCATTGATGCTGAACATTAAGCATGAATACTGATGATTTATGCAGTACGGAGCAAGAATTAGGTTTTAAACTCTTTACTTCTTGGTCCAAACCAAATGTATTTGTATTATAATTATTAGACTGATAATAAATTAATTATATGCATTTTTAAATAGGAGGATTACAAAAAACAAAAAAACTACAATTTTAAATAGAGGGATTACAAAAAAAACCAAAAAAAAAAAAAGAAAAACCAGCAGTCCATGTGTAAAGGGAGGGGAGGGTGGAAACAGTCTCACCATGTCCGGGAGGGAGGGTGGAAACAGTCTCACCATGTCCGTCTTGACTCTGTTGTCGTCCCCAGCTGATGATGTCATGATGCGAGGCACGTGCTGCAACAAAGTCAGGACAGACAACGACATCCATGTAAATGAGCAGTGTTTTAGGGTCAAAACAACGAGCGGTGCAGAAACTTTGACCCACAGTACGTTTCCACTCAGGTCTATTGGATGACACTGTTATAGTGACAGTGAGTTCCTCTGCTGCAGCCTCACTGACCTGCTGGCTGTGTGGAGATGGCCTCAGCTCCTTCTTATCATCCCGTGCTGGAAACAGAGACTTGAGCAGTTTGGGCATCTGAGGGACCAGCGCTTTAACTGAAAAATAAGAGGCAGCAAGTCCTAAACGACCTGGGGGAGGGGGAAGGTAAGTGAGAGAAAGGGAGAGAGAGAGAGAGAGAGAGGGAGAGAGAGAAAAAGGAAAAGAGGAAAAGAAGAAAGTAGAAGGGAATACAGAGCAAGGAATAGGAAAAAAGGTGGTGTGGGAGGCAGAGGAGGAGGTATGAAAGATTAAGACAGGAAGTTGAAAGCGAGTCCAGGAAATGGCAACAATCCCAAACACAGCGACAGACTCAAATCAGCAGGTGAAGACGGTTAATTAATTACACATTACAATGGAAAACGACTACAGCGCTGAGAAACAGAAATCAATCAAACACCAATTAACTCTGTTCATTTTCAAAACAGAATTAATTAACAGCGTAAATAATAGTAAAACAATGCACAAATCACTAGAAAGAAATAAAAACAGATTAATGAGATGAAATGGATAAGAGAGAGAGAGAGAGAGAGCAAAAACAGCTATTTGGACAGTGACAGAAGAAAACACCAAATTCACTGAACCAGCGATGGCACACGTGTAGAAGCACAGAGTAAGAATGTGAACAATGAAAGTGTATGTGCAGATATATGTGGTGCTTCATAAACATCAGACAGAAGAAGAAGCCAAACGACCAGCAGCTGCATGATTTGATGGTAAATGTGATTGATTTAAATGCAAGAAAAGGTAAGAAAGGGAGATGATGGAGTGATGGGAGAAAGAAAGGTGTACAGGGAGACATAAAGAGGGTAGAGGAGAGAAAGAAAAAAGAAAAAAAGGAAAGGGCTTTACCTTGTTCTTGCTCCTGACTCTGTGGGGGAGGCACATTGAGGGGGAGGGTAGAAGAGGACAGTGAGGAGCAGTAGGTGGACGGGGAGGAGGCCGGACGAGGAAGGGTGCGGGGAAACTGAGGCTGGAAGATGTCCTGCTGACTCTCCCATCGACTCTGAGACGGACAAGGACACAGAGAGTCAAAACGGGCGGAAGGAAAAATAATTAAAGAAGCATTTGGGCTAAAGAGTGTTTTTTACATGATTTTTTTTTACTTGTTAAATAAATAAGTTACCTTGTCCTCCAGCAGGCAGGTGGTGGACAAATCTTGTCTGCTACCAGAAAGCTGAAGCACAGACAGAGACATTTGATTCAATTGAATTGAGTACATTACACAAAGTATCTCAAAATAAAGATTGTGTGTGTGTGTGTAAAGAAAGGAAGAGTAAAGCAAAGACAGAGATCAAAAGAAAAAGAGACATTGAGAGATAAGGCGTTATTTTTACCACACAATAATCATTTGTGTTTTACCCTGTTGACGGAGGGCGAGCTGAGGCTGCGTCTGTTGCTCCGTCCTCTGCCAGCTAGCTGCTCCTTCACTGCTACTTCCTAAAATACAAAAACACAATTTACATCCATATTATTTAATCTGTATCATTTCACACAAACTTTTGTTTTCCCGTTTTCTCCATCTACCTGTCTTAATCTGTCCAAAGTCAGGATGTTCTCCAGACTCATGACACTTCGGAGGTATTTCTCGATGGCCGCCTCTTCGTCAGCTGATTGGCTGTTGGGCGCGTTGGCAGCGAGTCGAGCCAACATCTCCCTGTCCTCTGATCCAGGTGCATCCTAGCAGGAACACAGCATTACAACGACTGAAGTAGAGAAACCTGTGATGCAGCACAAACAGGACACTTTTTCATGACGCCCTTACCCCGGGGATGTTGGAGACCACCTCGAATGTGACGCCGCAGCCTGGTATGGTGCTGCGGGTGGACATCCTTCTGAGAAAGTTTTGGGCGAACCCTGGGCGACCAGGGTTGACGTTCACACAGATTCTCTTCCTCAGAACCAGCTGCATGTCGGCGGGGTGGCTGAGCTGAACCACCACTCTGATCGTCAGGTAAACACGCTGCTCAGGCCACGACCCTCCACGGCTGAGCTGAGGACACTCGTGGACAGTAGAGTCCCAGGATGCCTCTGCTTTCACCTGTGCGGTTGAGAATCATAGTCGGTTATTGAAACGGTTGAAAACAGTGTGGATTTGGAAACTAGATCCACATTTGCTATGATACTGCCGTCACCTCTCCATCGTAGTGTTTGACAATTTGCAGGTCGAAGAAGTCGTCCTCATCTTCTCCGTTGAGAGTGGCGTCCCATCCTCCGGCCTCAGGAACCTCAAACTGGTCCTGAGAGCTGAGGTCATCAGCTGGACCAACAACGACAATATTAATATACTCACTGAGTTGAACAGTCAAAGTTAAACGCAAACAATGACAATGTAATAATTTGTATTTTACTGCACAAGGTGCAATACAATGACCTACGTTTGAGGTTTAGGAAGAGGACGGGAATATGAGTCTCCATGCCTGGCAGAGGAACCCTGTAAAACACGTACACATGGCTTTATGTTTGAAGGTTTGTTTCCTTGCACGGGAGCAACTACAATGACAGGAAAGCATTTTTTTTTTCCATAATAAATTATGCGACATAATGCTTGCAGCCACATTTCCTACCATTCAGCAGGTGCTCCA